TCCTCTCTGTCAACGCTCTCTGGTTTCATTTAAAAGAGTCGATCATCAGATATTGTCCAAGGTTAACCTTCAGGGTGGATATAGCTCACTAGCAGCCTCGCACTGAGGACCTGGTTGATGTCATCATTTACCCAGAATGCTTAGCATTTAAATAAAATGGCCCCATCCGTGTAATGTATTTTTAAACTTTTTGTTTAAAAATTATAAAAAACTAAACAGCCTACAGCATTTTTAGTCTTTATTTTACAGTTAAAGTACATGTTTATCATATAAAGACTAATATTACAACTAATCGGGGATCCCTTTAAAATAAAGTATGTTGCAGAAATTGATGGGCTATTTAGCTGTTTTGAAAAACATTGAAATGATATTGGGATAATTTTCATCTTTTATAGATACTCATTCACAAAGCCTTTTATCGGTGTCTAAAATAAAAGCTTCCTGTCAGTGGAGAAGCTTCACAAAAGAATGTGTATTTGTACAAATCACTTTGCCACCTCAAAGCTTACTTTTTTCAGTTGCTCTGCTTGACACAAACTAGCCTTAAATGGCTTCTTGAAGAAACTCATCTTCGTACATTTTCCGAGGAGCTAAATGCTTCTCCCTTTGAATGCTTCTTATCTCTCTTCATTGGATATTTACTGTGATTGCAAGAAACAAACCGAAAAGAGAAAAAAAAAAAAGAAAATCCACAGCGTGTGTCACATTTAGTTTCTCAGCGGCAGCCAGAGCTCTTTGTTTTGATCAATGTGTCCACTTGGATTTTTCAGGTATGGAGGCTTTGCTTTCGGCATGCCTCTCCCGCCCAACTTGAAATTGGACGTTACTGCAGTGCCTGAAAACCGCACACTGTCCAAGGTAACGCTCTCTCCCTCCTGCTTCCTCACTCCACGACTAATTATCTCTTGAAATGCCATACTAACGAGTTGTTAAACGTTAATATATGACATCCCAATTAAAATCTTTTGGCTGCAAGATTAATATTTGCAGATGGAGCTGGATTGTTGCACCATCAGTGTCATCATAAATATGCTTTACTGCAGCAATTGTCCTTTTTTTTCCGGTGTGTAAATGTTTCCAGATGGAGATGTCTTAAGCTCTCTGCATCTTTTAGCTGTTTTTTWTTATTATAGAAATCTAATATAGATTTCCTGATCTAGAGGCATGATATAGAGATTTGATTTTTATGGTTGTAGGTTTGGTTCAATCCTGAGGGTCACCACACAATGCCCGCTTACCTGAACACTCTCAACAACATYATCCTGCGCTCCAATATCCCAGTTGATAAAAAGCCACAAAAATATGGTAAGTTTGATATAAATAAAACATTTAAAATGTTACTTTCAGGTAAAGGATGCCGATATTGACATTTAATTTTATTAACAGTCAATAATGTGTTGTAAAAATAATGCAGTTTTTTTTATTTTAGAGATGGCATATTCTCTTTATTTTTGCTGGACTTGTTTGGTATCCTTTTAAACAAAACTATGTCCTTGTTATTGTAAAACATACAGAGATATCAGCATTAAAAAGCCGCAGCCGGCATGTTTTAGTGCACTAAATACAAAGACAGCTGTAAACAGTGTGTTGACTCATGGATCATTTTGCTAGATTTAAGCCAGGGGGTGCTGTGTGTCTTTACACTAACAGCCCTATGCATGCGGCATACTAATTTGTGCCATTCTTTGGGGAACGGCGCTGAAGAGAAGCAAAGGCTGGCCCACGTTTTCAGTTTCGTTTCAGCTCTGAGTAGCACCCTAACCATCTGGCCCCAAGCAAGAGTACACAAACACACACKTGCACAAATGTATGAACAAAAGGGCACTTGTGGACATAAGTGCAAGCACACAAGAATAGACATGCATGTTAAAATGYGCTCCAAGGTATAGATGTATAACCATTTAGATGTTACCCATGGTGGTGGAGGTTTACAGGGGTGCAGGTCCAGAGGAATTATTTTCTAAGGGGACCAGCCATGTTTTGTGTGCTATAGTGTCAGAGGAACATTAGGAATCTTTAGATTTCATCCACAAATTGCTTCTTTTCACCCCAGTCTTGCAGGGTTTTTGATTACAACCTCCCACTGTTGCAGATGCACCATCACACTCCAGTCCATCAATCTCTGCTGTCATGACTATAGATTTGATCAGTCCCCCTTGGAACTGTGTTTTGTACTGGAAGACTCTCTGTGCAATTCCCTGGAGAGAAAAAAAAATGCATATTCTGAGCTGTTTTTTAAGCCACGCTTACAAGATATGAGATGAAAAGAAACCCTGTTCAACTATATACATATTTTCACGTTTAGTTATATTTGGACAAATGTTTATGATTGTAGCTCGTCAAGAAAAAGACAAACATAATCGTGCAAAATTGAAATTCTGGTTATTTTTAATGAAGRTTCAATAATTGACGAAGGATTTGCCTGTAAAGCCTAACATTTCCACTGATCTCCCTGTTGGCTCTGGACGCTGGCATGTTTTAGGACACACACTTTCCTATCAGAGGAAATGTAAACAAACAAACAAACGAAGAGGAGCAGTTTATGTCTGTGAGCGTCTAGACGACCATGAGAAAATGAYAAAGTAAATTCAATTCTCTCTGTGTGCACTGGCAAATGAAATCACCGTGCTCTATATTTTCCAATTGACTGTGTTCCAGGCTAAGAGAACATCATTGTTCATTTGGTTTCTGTGCTGAAAAATAGCTTGTGTGCACTGTTTTTGTACTTGTTTTTTTTTAATCACTGATAATATAATACCCTGTTTCTTTCTATTACAGCCATTTCAGTGTCCAGCCATCCTTATTTTGGCCGGAAGGATGATGAAGATACAGTGTAAGGACTAACCTTAATATTGCAAACACATAAAACGACACAAATAAATGTGCAAAMTCATTTTAATTAGAGTAAATATCCCTAATTTACTCAGGTCAATATGACTGATGGCTGTTGTTTGTCTGGCCTGACATAATTTATAGAGCCATCCTATTTTTCCGGTCCTAGACATTAAACTCAGGCTGGATTTAGTGCTGGAGGATACATGACAGCAGTATTTACCCCATATTTGATTTTCTAAATGGATTTCTCTGAGCTCACTCTATTGATCCGAGTCCCAGTGTAATGAGTGTTTATCTTGAAGGTGGCACTGAGGTGGATTGATTTTCCTCAACTTCCCAATGTTAGGTTATTAAAAATGCTCCACATCGTGCTCTAGAGGCCTTACTTATTTATATGCATGTATGCAAACATGTCTGTGTTCCAAAGGATCAAATTAAATCCAGTAGTGGATTGGAGTAACTTATTAACTTAATAATCCTAACCGATTTGTTTATATTTATCAATGGTTTCCTCATATGGACAGGTAGTGTAGCCTCTGGAGGTGCTGCCGCTGCCGCAGCTGCAGTTAGACATTCACCCCCTTCCTTTCGGGGTGATACTTGGCTTTCGCACTTGATATATTGATTTGGCCTGTGCTCTGTTAAAGACATGGCAGATGTATTCCTCCACATGTCTTGATTCTCACCATGCTGTAGCTCAGCCCATGGGAAACATTTCTAAAGCTATCTTGGCCGCGCCGATAACAAGCCTGCTCTGTAGCTGCTGCTCCCGGCTTTCTTCTGTAGTAAGTGCTGCCCTGAAACGCCCACCGCATGTCCCTCTCTGCTGTTCCCCTTTCCTCYCCTTCTTGGTCGCTGTGCCAGATTCGTGCTCTCCTCGGCCTCGTGCAAGACAGTCGGTGTGCTCGGTGGTGTTGTCACCCAGCTAGAGGAGAGTGGCGAGCGTGGTTTGGTCACGTGCAGCCGAGGAATGAGGAAAAAGGGGAATAAACCAGTTCTGACCAGACACAAACACGTGTTGGACGCTATAACTAATGGATCAAAGCTTCAAATAGATTTCTGTTGTCTAATCTGGACAATGGGTTGTGTAGACTCACAGCAGCATCCCTGCCTCGACTGCACCACAAGCACCGTTTGAAGATGCTGTCTCTTTTTTTTCCTTTTTTTGTTATTTTGTTATTACTGAGGCATACATCTTTTTCCACAAAGTTGTTATTAATGGGATTTCATTTACTGGACATCACTTCAGTAGTTTAAATGAGTCCGATCTCAGCAAGGATTGTAAATGATCATTTTGAGCAAAACTTTAAATAGGTCACCCTTTTTTTGTGCAAAATGTACATTTTTCAACAGAATCTACCCCATCTGCGTATATTGATTCATTTGAACTCGCTTCTGAGGGGACGGCAGCATTACTAGAAATAACGAGGCGCACCGTAGAAATATGCTGCTCGCGAATATGATTGAATGATAGTAATTCAASTWGCTGACACTTAATCACGTCATCTGCGTTGGTCTTTTCCTCACAGCATTGAGGGAGTGCTCCAGATCCTCGTGGCTGTGTGTGTGCTGACCGGATTCTCAATTACCACTGCCAGCTTCGCCATCTATGAAGTCACTGAGCACAACAGTGGGTCAAAGAGGCTCCAGCACATTGCTGGCATCAGCGAGACTTTCTACTGGACTGTGAACTTCTTCTATGACATGGTAACRTCTTCTCACTAAACGGGTTAAAGGAAACCAGAACCTGTATTAAAATGTGTTTCAGTAAAATAAAAAGAGAATTTATATTACAAAGGACCTTTTTTGTTTCTTAATATTATCTTTTCATAATCTGTTCTTTATTTCACTTATTTCAAATGCATTTACAGATATGTTCTTTCTTTACAGGTCATTTATTTGATTCCTGTGACTCTGACCATCTGTGTGATTGCCGCTTTCCAAATTCCAGCCTTCACAGAGCGGCAAAATTTGGGAGCTGTCAGCCTCCTTTTTGTGCTCTTTGGGTCAGTAATTAAAAAAAGAAGGTGTCATCTATATATGTTGTATTCCGGATTTTTAATTTTTAATTTTTATTTTTATGTCTGTGAGGTAATTTTAACCAATTCTTGACTATGTCAGATAGAAAATAATAATAAAAAATCATTAGATTGGAAAGCCTAAGGACTTCTGATCCAGCAGCAGTAGTTAACAAGAAGAGTTTAAGAATCATTTGGAGGTCAACTACAGGTGATTTATACCCCCCCCCCCCCCCCCCCCAAAAAAAAAAAAAAAAAAAAAAAAAAAGCTCATAGATATGGGCTTCGTGTTAGTCTGAGCAGAATCCTCCACATGAACCCTGAGCATATAAAGCGTTCTTCTGGCACAAAGTCAAATTGTAAATCAGTAAAAAACGACCTTGTGTTCTCCACAGAGGATATCCCAATGTTCCTACATCTACCACAGCCTTTCTCCACATATGCACTGGGACTTCTAGTCTCTAATGGGTGTTGCTATGTGTGCTATGAGGTTAAATTTCAGCACAGAGCATACGGAGGCTGCTGCTGTTCAAATGTAAACACAGATCTTTTTTTTTGTTTTTTATTTTAATTCCTTCCGGAGGCAGATGGCATCAGGATTGAAAGGCTGTTATAAAAATTGCTTTTGAATCGTTTATCCCATTTGGGCCAAAGACACGACAACGGTGGAACCGGATGAGGAAGCAACAGTGTAACTTAGTGTGAGACAAGTGATGGCTGCCATCTCAGAAGGTTTTAAAATCAATCAGACCAAAAGATTTAGACTTCAGAACTGTATCAAAAGTAATTACATATTTTATTTCGTTCGTCTGTATTACACAACCCGTTTATGTCATTCAGTCACTGTAGTAGAAGTTTGGGCACCTATGTAGGTCGTTGTTTTCAGGCTTCATAGTGGGCTCTGTACTATTGAAGGCCAAGTCAGCACTCTGCCTCTCATTTATCAGACAGATGTCTCCCTCCCAAGCAATGAGTAATCGCAATGCTCCATCTGTCAGGCTGCACCCACCTGGTCCGGTCTGCAGCCTTCTTGCTTCTGTTCCTTGTCATGCTTGGCACTCGCAGTCTGCCTACCAAGCACCTTTTTTTTGGACACGACACGCAAATGCTTTGTCTCTGTCTGGCTCTTTCTGTTACTTTACGTCTCCTTCAATTCCCAMCTTTCATATAATTATTTATTTCTACATTCTTTTTTCTGTGTCCCTCTCTGACCCAAACAACTAGCAGATAATGTGAGAGGAGGCTGAAAGATGTGCTGCCACCACGGGGAATAAAGAGAGGAGTCATTTATCTTTGTCTGTTTTGGCATTGTGACTGAATGTTTACCCTCCTCATGCTATAGCATTTTCCATTTTCGCCTTTCAGTAYTCTTTGGTGCTGCCTTTCATCAAGCTCACAGCTATTATTTAATCTGTTAAAGACCCCCGTGTCCCACCCTACCTCCTTTGCCTAAAAACACAAGTTTGCATCATTTAAGATAATGCAGTTGTGAGAGGAAAAACAAAAGCCATCCAAATCCTCAAGTCCTCGTTTTTCGCCTTTGAATGTTTTCTGTATTGAAGCTGACCCAGTCTATTTTGAGGTGAAGTATAACGTTATTTTTAGTAAATGATTTGTTTAAAATATTCCTCCTTTTGTCTCTTCCTCAGGTTTTCTACATTCCCCTGGATGTATCTGCTAGCAGAAGTCTTCAAAGATACGGAAATTGCCTTCATCTCTTATGTCTGCATCAACCTCTTTATCAGCATGAACACCATCCTGTCCACCTCCATTCTGTACTTTCTTGGACAAATAGCAATGCACAAACCAGAGGTCAGAATAAATGGCCAATGTSAAGATGCCTGTGTTTGAAACTCCACAATGAAATTTATAAACCCATTTTTTGCATGGTCGTGTCTCTCTTCTGTTGTACTTTCATAAAAAAAATACACATATATTATGTTCTGTCCTCCTGCAGGCTATCCAAGATATCTTCCAAAACCTCTGCAACGCATTCCTCATCTTCCCTCAGTTCAACTTTGGAAACGGTCTGATACAGCTGGCCAGATCGAACATCGAGGTCCAGATTCTCAGCGGCTACGGAATTGATGCTTATAAAGACCCATTCTCCTCAGAGGCCTTAGGGAAGATGTTCATCGCTTCCATCGTCCAAGGCATAGTTTTCTTCACCCTGCGCCTCTTGCTCAACAAAACTGTCATACGTAAAGTCAGGTGAGGAAAACAGAAGCCAGAGGTGGTATTTTGATGCACTGTATGATGACAAACTATCCAAAGCCTTGTAATATATTAATGTATAGAATGTTGTTTCAAGATTTGAATCCCCAAGTACAGGGTTCCTGCGGATCCTTAAAAAGTCTTAAAAGGCCTTGAATTCATCAATCCAAAAATAAGGCCTTAATTAGCCTTAAA